TCTGCTGAATGAATACTAGTTTCTTTGTTGATATTCGAGTGTGTGAACGCTGCTGTAAGTCTGTGAACTGCGTGTCAAATTTCTGGGTCATATCATAACACCACAGTGAGGATACGATGGGAGAGAAGATCAACCAACATAGCTGATTCTTTAACTAAGCAAGGGGTTAACAGGGTTCAATTATATTGAGCTAAGTTGTAACCTACTTTTTGTTTTTCTTCTAATTAGAGATGTGTATCTGACACCTCTCTTTGTGATGCTTGTACAGCTGTATATTTTGATGTCTTATTAATAAATTGAAGTTACTTATATATATATATATATAAAGCAGAGGTGGGCAACCCCAAGTCCTTTGGCTACCAAACATTAGTCTTCCATTTGTTATTTTCTTGTTCTTTTTCTCTTATTTCTCATATTTCATATTATTATTTAGACTTTAGATCTCTGAAACTCATTCCTGATAAACTAAGTACAAATAATATACATGCAAATACTGAGAGAGGGAGAGAGAGAGAGAGAGACGTACTGTGATGAACAAATCAGGGTTTAAATCACAACGTTTAATGAAAGCATCTACTGCAGCTGCATTTTGACTAGGCAGAACCTCAAGAACATCACCCACTTGGTATTCAATAACCTGAAGAAAATTCAATAGATATAAATGAATCCAAAAAAAAAAATCACATAGCACTTTCACTGAAATGAATTACTTCTCGTCTGGATTAAGTCTGTTAATGGGCAGATGTTGACACAAGGGCTGAAGCTAGCTAAGCAGCTAGGACTTAGGCATATTGAGGTAGAGGGGGACTCAGAAGTGATCATCTCCTAGGCTACAAACAATAGAATTACTCCGTGGACCTTCAAACATGTGATTAGAGAAGTGGAAAAGATTGCAAAGGAGGTAGAGGCTGAATTCAAATGGGTCAGAAGGAGTGCAAATGGGCTAGCTGATTATCTTGCCAAACAAGGGGCACTGAGGCAACAATTGTTTTGGGCTGCACTGTAAAGTGGGACAGAAATATGTTCTAATTTGGGAACAGAACATTATTCCCATCTACAAGCTGTAAAACTTTATTTTAAACCTATTTTAAATAAAACTCTCTTTTACTGATCAAAAAAAAGAAAAGTGCAGATGTTGATACTAAACAGATTAAACAAATCAACCTGTTTTTTAATGCAAAAGTACATATTGGGGCTTACAGATGAAAGAGCTTCAAATTCAAAATGCCGCACATCTTTTCCACAGCCAGACTTGGTTAATCTTTGATTTGTAATCTACAAAAGTGAATATATAATAATGAAATGATGAATATGTAAGATTATCTAGAATCTGAAATTAGTAATTTACCATTTTGCACTACAAGCAAAATAATCAACAGCAGCTGTCCAGAGAATGAGAAAAAAACACATATAAAGAAAGGATAGGGAAGGAAACACTTGTAGCATGTAATGTACTGCATATTAGACAGCATCATTGAGAAAAGAATTACTGCAGAGCCCACAGCCCGACACTGCCTTCAACACCCATTATAGAAGCCTGATCAGCACTTTGGTTGCATCTGTATTGTTTGAAAACACAATGAAGCTATGGCAGAGGGTATCAGCCTTAGTGCCAAGAAATGTCAAACTAGACAAGTACTTCCTATTTTATTTGTGATTCTAGTGAATCAAGAGCAGTGCTCTTCATCCGCATTTGATGAAAAATGTAAATCACAATAAGAATGACTAATTGAATTTCCATTTTTGAGGACTTTAAAGGGGTTACCATGGTGGCCATGTTGAAAAAATGACAGGTGGTAGGTGGGTTTGCTTAGTTTTAGTGTGTTATGTTGGAAGCTTCAGTTTTACCTTTGACTTGTCCAGCTATGTAACTGGTTGTATCCACATATCCATAAGCAGTAGACCTATGAAGGGAGTGGCAACTTGTGGACCAATTTATTTTAACTTCTTCTTTTTTATCAATAACTCACAGATTCCATTAAGATTAGAGAGAAATGATACAAGGGTACAATAAAAGGAAGATAAACTCTCTTATCTCACCTTCCCAAACAAGAAAACAAGAGAAAAAAAAATTACAAGATAGCCCATAATAAAGAGTCCCTAGTTGCCCCTTGTTTAGCTAACCCATCAGCAAAGGAATTAGCACTTATTTTAACCCAACTCATCTTCACCTCAATATTCTTAGTTAACCAATTGAATTTCCTCTTCTCATTGCTGTAGTTCCAAAAATTAATAGTATCATTTTTCAGCCAATCCACTACCAATTTAGAGTCACCCTCTATGACCAATTTGGTGATGTTCAGTTTGATTGCCCTTTGAGTTACTTGGAATTTAATTTGATCTTCAAACAAGCAAAAGAAAACAGAAAATAGATGAACATAGAAGAGAAGAGAGGAGATCAATGAGAAGGGGAAAGAACAGTCTACAATCCCCCATCAACTGCCCACTTTCTTATTTATATGTTGAGTTACAAATCAGTGATCACAACAAAACATTCTATCCACCCCTCATAAGTAATAAACAGAAAAAGACATAAAAAACCTAATATAAAACATCCAGTGACAATCAAACATAAACTAATTTATTCTCAACACTTCCCCTCAAGCTGAGCATAGATGTTAATCAAGCCCAGCTTCATAAGATTATCCTCAAACCACAGTTTTGCATCTCCGTTGGTAAAAATGTTGGGCAACTTTTTCTGGATAAATAACAGAATAACTTTATTGATAGAAATAAATTGTTACAAGATGTTTTCAAAAAGAAAACCCACTGACGTTTATCCATGGTTAACCTTTGTTTTTGACAATAAATAAAAGAAGAATATTCATTAAAACAAAAACAAAAAAAAAAAAATAGGAGAAACAACCCTGCTCAACAAAAGCAAAACAAAACCAATAAAAACTCAAATTCGCCCAACATCAAGCTTACAAAAAGCTCCCTCACTCCAACCCCAACATGACAATCTTAGCACACTCTACAATCTATCTCCCAATATCCCCTTAATTCAATGATCTATTTATCAGGCAAAAGCAACTTTCTCCAAAATCCAAATAGCCATAAAAGCAATTACACACGTTTGAAATTTTGCAATGTATCAGTCCATATCAGCCAATACGTTGCATTGCATCAAGGGCCCAATACACAAAACATACAAAATCTGTATGTTTTGTTTATTTTCGTTAAAAGATTGACAATGTTTCCAACAAGCATGAGGCTTGAGTGCGTCACCTATACCATTTTTAGGAAGCAGTGAGGCCTAATCTTATCATGACTGAATTTCCCAGGGGACATCAAGCGAGCTCTCTCAATCTGCATCTCCATGCACTTTAAATCTGAGGCAACCACAAGGAATATTTTCTTGTTGGTAGGTTAACAAGTATTTCCAACTTTTTATTGATCAAAAGTAAGTATTATAAATGTCTCAAAAGATGATTTCTTTAGAAATTGGAAGGGAGTAGTTGACTCATCTACAAACAAGACTATTAGCAATCATCATTGAATTCTACCAGAAAGCAGATTCATTGAGATCAACTTTGAAGGAAGCAGTTTGGGGAATCCGGGTTTGTCAGGTATAGGAGTGGTATTCAGAGATGATGAGGGCAAAATAATCACATTATTTTCAGGCCCAATTGGATGGGTAATTCTTTAAGAGCAGAATTTTTGGCACTAATGGAGGGAGTACAAAGAGCAAGAATTTGGATCCAAGGAAGCTAATCATTGAAGGAGATTCCCAACTAGTAGTGGACTGGCTACAAAGTGAGGAGACAAAAATGTGGAGTTACAACAAAGAAAGTAAGAAATTCAGATGGCTAACAAAAGACATGGATGTGGGACTACAATGAGTTAAAAGAAGTGCCAACTCCTTGGCAGATTCTTTAGCTAAACAAGGAATGGGGAGAGATCAATTGTTTTGACCTCAACTGTAAGATAAAGAAAACTTTTCTTGGGGAAAGATAAGAAGGTTTATCTTTAATCTTTAACTGTCAGTTTGCTCACATTGTAATCACTACTTGTGATTCTCTTAATGTAATTTGCAATTATTGATCAAAAAAATAAAAATGAGAAAGTCCCCACAAAAATGTGATCACTCATGGAAAAGATCATTCATTTCTATGTATTTGTGAAAATGGAATCATTTCGCCTAGGCGACTAGGCACCCTTGGCTGGGCGCCTCACCCAAACGCCTCGACTTTTAGCAACTAGGCACCCGCCTAGGCGACAAAAATGACAAGGCGGGCGCCTTTTATAATATCATTTATATTGTTGTATCTTATTAATGTATGTGTTAATACATTTT